AACCTTCAGCCATAGTGAGCACACACAGGAATTTCCTGTGTTACTATAACCATTCAACTATGACTTGCACATGTAAAATCCCCGTTCTGTCTTGAGTCCCCGGAATCTTCCCGGATCAGGCCCGTGAAAGTACACTTGACACAGCTCTCTGGAATGAGGGAAATTAGTGATTTCTGCTGATGACTAATTGCAAAAGACTCCACGGTTATGAAATGCAGTTCCTCCTAATGTTACCACAGGTCATCGCTGGTTAATTACACTTGAATAGTTTTTTCTGCTTCGAGTCAGGTGTCAAGTGAAAAACAGACTAACTGAAGAATTCAAAAAGTCATGTCCCACATAGACTGCCCCCACACCACCGGTAGAAACTCCTTGAGGTTAGCGGCCAGCCAGTGACACAGACTGCTTTAAACACAGACTGTCAGTTTAGCTCTGAGTCTACTGACTCTCACCCACCCCGCACAGAAAACTCTGAAATGCCACAGACTTAAAAATAGACTTTCTGCGACACAGTACCAGTGTGTCATGGCATGGAACTCCCACGCAAAGCCGCACGTCGCAGTGCGCAGATGCTGGGGTCATGAGAACCCTAAATATCAACATCTACAGCAGCGGCAGCCGGAGAAAAACGTAACAGCACTCCGGTGTTTTGAGTGTGTTTACTCATCCAAAAAAAAGGTCTCTGGTTTTAAAATTTGCAGAGGGGAGGGTATGAATATTGGCGAGCCATCTTTACTCATCGGTGCAATTCTACCGCTCATAGTGCTGAGAATCTCTGAATAACTTCAATGCGAATGTCTCAGTCATACCAGTCAGCAGCAGGGGTTTGGAAAGATGGAGCAAACTAAGTTGTGGGGTGGGGAGGGGGGGGGGGGCACTCAAAACAAATGATGATTCAGCGTGATCCGGGAAGTGATACTGCACGCAGTGGAAAATCCAGAGCCCCTGGGCAAACTGGAGCCAGACAGCGTGAGCAAGCACAGTGTCAGGACAAGCCTTGACCAGTTAACATGGCGCCCAAGACAGCACGAGGGGGACGGCGTCTGGAGCACAAGCGACCCGCCTGACATCACTGAATTAGTGTGACCGAGGCGACAGTGCGACCTGTCGAAAACTCAAAAAGTGACATGTGACATGACGGATTCCCGGGAGCAAGACGACAAAAAACAGCAACATGTATAAAATGGCAGCCGAGCCTTTTGAGTGCCGTGATCCAGCTGTCAAGCTATGAATTTCGTTCTAAAACAGGAAGCTGCAGAATAACATATTTCCTTTTTAGCCATCCAAATTTCCCTCTCTCCATCACTGCCATGCCAGGAAACAGATGGCTACATTGGTGACACTGTTCCCAGAAGGAAGGACAGAGTAAATCAGCATATTTATTGGGCCCTTCCATCAAATTCAGTCATGACTTCCTGTTAAAATGGGTGTAGTGAGCCATTCAGTGACGAACCCAAATTAGGAGATGGCAAAGCCAAAGCATGCCCCTCCCCCTAAGGGACGCCATGCCAGACTGACTGGATTTCGCCACTTTACCGTGGAGGCTGTTAAAAAGCTTTTTGTTTTCCTTTATGTGGAACTTTGCCTAAAGCGGGGCTCTTCAAATCTAGCCCTCCATTCCAATTCCAAGCCTTGTTTTCCGTTCTCCCATGTAGCTAGTTTAATAATAACTGAGTGTGATTGGCTGGAGGCTTCACACCTGGCTCACAGGTAAAGGAAGGCTGGAAAATCAGGAGCTCGGACCTTGAGGACCGTGATTTGGGCAGCCTTGGTCTAAAGGTTTCAGGGGCAAATATTCCCACAGCTCAGCAGTGGTTGTAAGCTCTGTTGGGTCCTTAGTTACACACTTTATAAAGGAAGCTACATGCAGAGAATGGTCACAGAGAAATGGCTATCACTGGCACATGGAAACAGACAGGGCTTCAATGCTTAGTAAGAGCCTGCCTCTACTATTCAATCACAGACTATCAGATTACCAGAACTGTGCTTATTTATTAAGTATTTGTGTATGTGTGTGTGTGTGTGGGGGGGGCAAATTTCAAGAAGACAGCTGTCTGCGGGTAACAGTGCCACGTCAAAAATGAAAGACAAGACTAAACAGAGAACCGACCAGCACCGAGGTTCTGGTCGAATGTGAGTATATATCAGGACACCACGGTCCTTGGGGCCCCCACCCTGCCAAGGACACCAGATGGGTCTCTGTGTCTGACTGGGACAGAATCCTTGGGGGGAGGCGGTGGTGGAAGAACAAAAACTTTATAGAGACTTGAGGGCCCTGTGAATACATGTGGGAGTATTACCTGCCCCCCCCCAAGTTACAAAGAGGACTGTGACAAATAGGCACATGGTGTTGCCACCTGTAGCTGCCAAACAAAACAGGAACAAGACGTGTGGGGGTGCACCTCATATCCTCTGTACGTGAAGACGCGTGACACTTTTACTCTCGACACAGGAAACACTCGGCACACTGTAGACATACGGCGATAGCTGTTTAGGAAAACTTCACGTGCTTGTGGGCGACGTTGGCTGGTGGGCAGGAAGACGCCCCCACGGGACAAGCCACTGGCTGCCACCTGTACCTGGACTGACAAGGTGGCACCATTGAAGGCCTCTTGTTGCAGTGCTGCCAACTCTCGTGCATCTGACGTGACACTCGCACTTACGCACGAAATCTTACGGCAAATCTATATTTTTCCATTATAATCCTAACATTGGCTACATTGGAAGCGCTTGCAAGCCCTACAGCAGGGGTCACCGACCTTTTTGAAACTGAGAGCTACTTCACGGGTACTGAGCCACACGAAGGGCTACCAATTTGAAACGCCCTCCTAAACTTACCTAAACTTCATGTACAATAGACATGTTTTAAATGCTTTTTTTTTCAAATCTATATAATGCAAATGTGATTAAAGAAGAATAGCAACAGGATAAAATTTAATTTTAGATGCTGCTCACTGGTGAGTTGTGCTATTTTTAGAACAGGTCACAGGGCGACTCATGTGGTCCTTGGGGGCATCCTGGTGCCCACGGGCACCATGTTAGAGACACCTGCCCTACATACTATTTTCAAGGTAATAAAACTGTTACATACATGGAAATGCGTGTACAGACTTGAAAATCGAATTGAAAATCTCACGCCTGCCAGCTGACCAAACTTGGCAAACCTGGGTCAGGCTGCCTTGCTTCACGTTCTTCACTGCCAAATACGCATTTGATGTTTTTGAAAAATTAATTCCGATAAATATTTAATCTTTACTATGATTAGCTGGGGAAAGTAAATAAGTCTGGTTTTAATCATCAGCAACAGCAGGATGGGCAACGGGCAACACAAATCTTACAGCAAATCTATATTATCCCATTATAAACCTAAAATATGCTACGTCAGAAGTGTTGGGGTAATGTGCAAACCCTACAGACTATCTACAAGGTAATAAAAATATTACATACATGTAAATGAGTATGTAGACTTGTCTCGAACTGATCAGAATCTCACGCCAGCCAGCTGACCGAAGTTGGTGACACTGCAGCAGATATATCGCTCCTGCTCTAAAGTGAGGCTTAGTACATAACTAACCTGCTTGGGATAATTTACCCTCCGTTAACACAGGGGCAGATTACGGGACACTCTGGCTTTTATATATTAGAAATTAAGTTCCAAGCAGAACACTTGGGATTCCAAAGTTCCACCCGGAAGCATTATTATGCGACGCGCGCAGAAACGATTAATCTGATTTCTAATCGCAGTGGGTAAAAAGGATCAGGAACTAGTTTCTCAGTTGTTTTAATCCAGTTTACCGACATATTCAGATGAAGATGGTCAACATATAATACCGCAGCAATAAACATACTTATCAGAAAAACTTGTGGCTTGTGGTCAGCTGGCTGGCGTAAGATTCCAGACAAGTAATTTACATGTGTATAATAGTTTTATTACTTTGTAAATAGTCTGTATGATTTGCAAACTACCCCTACGCTTTTGATGTAGCTAATTTTAGGTGTGAGAGCGTGAGAGTTGGCGGTCATGCTTATGATTAGCTTTTAAAGCCGGGTGAAGAGCAGTAAAAGCAGTTTAAGTATTGGCGAAACTGTATAAAAACACCATTTTACATAGGCGAATCATCGTGCTGTTATGGGTAATAAAATGCAGAATGGAGGTATTTAAACGGCCAGTAATTGACTGACGGCCAGGGAGAACTGCGTGACTATTGAATAATGATGAAAGTATGTAGTGAAGGGTGAGCTCTGGATGTCAACCCAAAACACGTAAAAACCTTGTTTATGGTAGTGACACTTATTGTAGCATAACCATCCTTTTCTTATAACTCCCAGCCAGGAAATTCACCTTGCAGACTTTAGAGAAGGCTGTTTTTTTTTTTTTTAGAGGCACCAATTTTCTTCAAGGTAGTAATTGAAACAAAAACCAGCAATAGGAGAGCTTCTGGGTTTTCACTTGTCCATATATATTTAATCAATTCATGCATAGCCAGTAATTCCTATTTCATCCTGAATTATAAAAACACATTCAGATAACAGGAAAAAGTTTCCTAAGTGAAGGAGGGTGCAGCCCCATATGTAAATCTGTGTGAAACGGTGTAAAACGCACCCCCCCCCCCCCAGACAGGAAGTAGGGAGGAACAGCCGAGCAGGATATCATGGGAAAACGAAGGTGACACCAAAGCCGAGGCATAGGGCTGCACCTCTTTCATAATTTTACTGGGCCGTGGCAGTCTATATGCATGCAGAAGGGACTTCCCAAGCCGGGTGTGTGACAGCCCTAGATAAGAGGCCATTCAGGTCTTGAGCAAACACGCGTGACTGCTTTTGTTTTTGTACATGCGGGCTATGTCCGTGCTCTGGACAACAGGCACATCACCACATAACCAGCTTAAATTGTGGGGGAGGTGGTGGTGGTGGTGGGGGCATATGAGGAAAAAAATGGGCAACACGATGGAGCACCAAAATTTCCTTATTGTCTGACGAGGCAAGAAAAGCAAAGGTGGTATGGTTAGGTTTGCTTTTATTGTCACTGACAAGTGCTGTGTACACTAAGGTGTGACGCAGGGAGCAGTGTCAGGATGCTTCTGTTGGCCTTGTCGGTCTTCCCGCTCTCCTTAAACACAGCCAGGTAGTGGGCACCTCGTAGGAGCACCGGTCCTGCCCTTGGGGGTCGTAGGGTATATGCCAGGAAGCCCCATCCGTCTGCAAAATGGTGTCGTAACTCTGTATTCTCTGAAACGGACGACGGGACCTCAGAACACAGTGCCGCGTCACTTTGATACCTCACGTACGCATCATGTGACACAGTAAATGTTCAGGAATTCCCTGAGGCGCACTCCCCACCTGGAAGCGAATCCGCCTGCCGGGTGCGTAGCCGTGAACGACCAGCTGGTGCCCCCGCTGCCACTTGAAAAAGAGGCAGCGAGTGGTGCCATCTGCCAAGCAGGCCTTGTGGTCCCGCATCAGGTCGCGGCTAACGAACATGCAGTGGTTCCCAGAGTGAAGGGCGGCATAGAGGAGGAAGGGGTCGTCCTCGGATCTGCCAGTTAAAAAAAAAAAATAAAAAAATGTAAACCCACACAGGCCCTCATCCTGACAAGCCTGTGGTTAACCTCCTCGAGATGGGGGCGTGTACCTAATTAAGATAAGATTGTTAGAATACCTTAGTCTTAAAGCAAACCCAACAGTAGAGTATTTCCAAAACATTGGAAGGTAAAAATTTTTTTTTTTAATCCATTCATGACTGCATGTCTACTCCAGAGTCATGGGGGTAGGCTGGGGGGGGGGGCATCACAGGGCAGTAGGCAAGGGGAGACCCTGTGGGGAATGCCAAGGCATCACAGGGCACAGACAAACTCACGTTGGCACACTGTGGGAATTCTAGAGACACCAATACATGCAAGATCGGAGGAGGCGTTTGAATCTCAGCCCCGGAAATATGAGCCCAAATGGTTAGTAACTGTATCACCACAAATATCAGAATAATCAAGGCTGGACTTACTAACGGCCTAACCAGGGCCGTAACCAAATATTTTTTTCTGGTTGTTACAGCAGTATTTCAAGTTTTACGCTTTGGGTCTCTGTGAAATGTGAAGTCTACTAAACTGAATTTTTATATAAAACATACATAAGATTGTGAACAGTAGTAACAGTGTGAGGCTGCTGGGGCAAAAGCAGCACTCTACAACCACAGAGGAAGGAACTACAGAAGCAGAAATTCACGAAGGGCTCCACATCGCAAAGGTAAAGGTTCCTTCAGTGTGAAAATCTAGTGACAGAGAAACCTCAAGTGACGTAAGTGACCAGTGGCTTTCTTAGAAGCTGCGAGGAGACGGTCACAATGCAGGATCAAAGACTTGTCCTGGGTCTGACTGCGTCTGTCGCACGACTCACATGTCGTCGGTGAAGAAGCAGTGGGCCACCTGCTGTACGCGGGTCATGTGATCTCTGTCCCAGCTGTGGCTGTGACGCCGCATGTGACTCCTGCCCAGGACCAGGATGTTCAGGCCCTGCTTCTCCAGCTCCGTCGCCACGGCCAGCAGCTGCGGGACACACAGGCCGTCACTGACGTCTGGCTGACCTCACAGCGGGCGTCTTACACAACACACAGGGAAGCGGCGCGGGGCAATGAGTGACCGGGATAGAGAGCCATGATCCGCTTCAGCTACATTTTTTTTGGCCACCCACAGAGGGTGGGGGTAGACTTCCTGTGGTAGGGAAAGTGGGGAGGTAAGGAAATGTGACATGGGTGATGTAGGAGGTCAAACCCTTATGTGGAGTCAGGACTGTTCCTGTGGTATCGCAGAGGGAACACGCACGCATGAACATTCTGCCAGATCATTCTCTGAGAATTTCTGGGCTATTCCGAAGTTTCCCCAGACCGTAACCTGCTTCCTGTACTATGGACTTTGACCCTCCCCCAGGCCGACGCCGCTCCGTTATCAGTCCTGGCGTCACAGCCCGAAAAGGCCCCCCGACCCCCAGCGTCCTGATTCACTAAGGACACGGTGCTGACTGCATCTTCACGTGGCCTCAGATCCAGCCAACACGAAATGAGACAAAGCCACTGTGATCTTAATCAGCAAAAAGAGAAGACATTTTCAGCCTTCGTCCCGTGAGTCATATCAGGCAAGGAGAGAATTCCCCTGTCTGTCTCCCCACGCACCTCAGAGGCATGAGTGGGCAGTCATAAGACCCGTCACCTGACAGCCCAGCCACACAGCAACAACACCATGTGGGGTCCCACTGCCGATAAGGTCAGGAGGTGGGGGGGATGTAGAGATCTTCAGTCAGCTCACAAGACCCCCTACCCAGAAGGGTAGAAACCAGTCATACTGAACATACCTTGTGAGGTGAACGAAAGAGCCAGATCACCTAAGACCAGGCAGACACTATCTGAGGACCTCCCAGATGGACAGGCATATCCCATAATCCATTGGTGAAACATCACATGGCCGGTTCAGCGCAGTAATTTCTAGTGACACTTATAAAAGCGCACGTCCAAATAACGTCGACATATGGAAGAGAAGATGGGGGAGGGGCAGACCCCACTGGTTTTGAAGTGCTGGTGTCAACTTTAAGGTCACTGTGTGACATTCCTCCCACACTGGAGACAGAGTAGTGATAAGACTGTTAGCTCTGTTTTTCTTGTTTGTGTTTGCAGTTGTAATAAATCATTTCAAAACAATTTCTGGTTTCCCTGCTGTACTGAAATTGCACCCAACCGTAAACCCAGAACTGAGGTGTATAGAGAACCTTTAGAGAACCTTAAATTGTACCGTTACACCCTTAATTTTTATCCTTTCCTCCAGTCGGGCGCAGCCCAGCCCCTGCTCCAGCTACCCACCCTCCCTTGGTAATACCACGGATCACCCTGGAGATTAAAGTGCACAGTGTGTTTGGCCCCGGAGACCCCACCCTATCCTGTAGGGGGCGTATTCCTCTGGACATGCTGATGTCAGTGTGTATTATGAGCACAGAAGCTGATGTAATGAGGGAGAAAGCGGGGAATAGAGACATGACTCAGCCCGCCCTCCCCAAGCCGGCGAGGTGCCTCGATGGGAGCCGCGCCCCTCGCTATACGGCGGGGGGGGGGGGGTGTAGTGGTGAAAGGCAGAGCCGGGGATGGATGTTGTAAAAACCAGAGTCTGACAGCCAAGGGCTACTCACCGTCTCCGATTGCTTCCCCTTGCCAAACGTATTGGCCACGTTGAGGCCATCGAGGACCACGTCAAAGGCCGGGACACTCTCCACAAACTTCCGGAATCTATCCAGCTCCTACGAAGAGGGAGAATCCATTACATGTGCCCGGCTTTTATTGGCCCTGGCGTACAGAAGCACCTCTACCGTTACTCCATTACTACACTGGAGACCAGGCGGCATCAGTGTAACTCCTCCATCTAAGTACAGGTACACGCCGCAGCAACTGTATTTACACCCTATTAGAGCTATTTGTAATATTTTGTAATTTGTTGTATATTGTATTATTTAATATTGGTATTTTAACTTGTTCTGCTTTCTTCTTACTGTCCTGGAGCAACTGTAACCACATAATTTCCTCAGGGACTAATAAAGTATTCTGAATTTGAATCTGAAGCAAGTAAAAAAAAAAAAATGGAGATGTACTTTCAGGTCCCAGAAGTACACTATAATGCCAGACGTATTGAGACACCACTTCAAATCATTGAATTCAGATGATCCAATCGCTTCCATAGCCACAGGTGTATAAAATCAAGCACCTGACAAACGTAGTTCCAGTATATCATGAAGTGCACATCACTCTCTGAATTATATAGACTGAGACGCTCCACATGACAGTGCTGTAAACCCCAACGCGATGCAGGCTGCTACTACAACAAAACTGACTGCCAGTGGTTGATTAGCTTTCCTTGGGCTGGCCGGATAACCTGATATGTACACTGGGAGGGGGGGGGGGTCCCATCACACTGTTCGTTCCTTCTGGCCAAGGGAAGCCAAAGAGTAAAGCTCAGGAACCAGAGAATCAGCCGAGGGAGAAGTGACTAGTGATGGACAAAATGACGCTTCATGAACCATTTGCTGTATTTTTTGACCCCACTAGATGGTGCTCTGTGTTACAAAAAGGGGCCCAAAGCAAACTAAGGGCACCATCTAGTTGGCTCAAAAAATACAGCAAATGGAGGCCTTATTTTGTCCATCACTAGCAGTGACACTTCCACAGTGATCAGAGGACCATCTGGGGGCATTCCACTGCTCTGAAGCAGGAGCCCAAAAGTTGCCCTTTTCCTGGTCCTCCATGAGTCCTATGAGGACTGAAAAAGCCAAGCTTTAACATCAACAACACATGCCCCAAGAGACTCAACGCACCGTGTCCTCCTCACGTCCCAAACACCTGACGCATGTCTGACACACAGCCACATGACTGACAGCTGTGCCCGGCCACCCGAAACACAGGTCTGCTCAAGCAGGGTGGCAATAAGAAGCAGAGCCGCAGATCCGGCACGTTCCGACGGGCCGCGGAAATGCAGCTAAGCACGCGATGCAGTCGCTAGCTGCCCACAACGTGGGAATCACCTCCGCACTGGGATTTACTAAGAATGCAGCACACTCCCAGTAAATCAAACAGACAGCTAATAGACTGCTCCTCCCACCTTAAGAAGACTGAGGCAGCTTAAAAATAGCTTTGCTATTGTTTCAGACCAGCCGTAGTAGATTCCGTAATTATGTGTATAAGTAGCATCTCATGGTGACCAGTGACATTCCAACACACCAGCAAACCCGCCTGAACGCGTTCCTGGGCCGTGAAGCCCCTCCAGTTGCCTCTGCCAACGTGAAATCCTGGCACACGTCATGTCTATGGGATGGCCTCCTCCAGACACTTTGATAGGGGCCCATATAACCTGCACAAGGAGCCTGACAAGCATACGCAGCTCGGTGACTGCATGCACACACACAGGAAGCCATGCAGCTGGCAGGGGAACGACAGGCTCCAAACTCTCACGCATCCCGTGCGAGCAGCGTTAACACAGAGGGCGGGATCCGTCCTGCGTTCAGCCTGAACGCACTTTCCGCACCATCGCCCCACAGTCAGTCCGTAGTTGCAATGTGCAGCAGCATCACCCCGAGCAACTCTCACATGCTGCGAGCGACGAACAGACACTTAAAGGAACAAGGCGCCCGCACAGAATCACATATGCAGGGAGCCTGCAGAATGAAGCCGACTTCGAGGGGGCCAGAAAACCACAAAATACTTGGGCAGAATAATAAAAGCCTTATTTTTCGCCTCAGAAAAGGCCTGCTATGGCCCCGGGGCGGGGGGGGGGGGGTTGTTTTGGTTAGGCCAGCAAAGGGGAAAAAACAAGCCAACTGCACTGGAGTTCCCCCTCCAGCAGTCTACTCCGATTCTGACGACGCCACCACCACCTAGTGGCGGATTTATTTAATGCAGCTTGGCTGGCCTCAGTGACGGCCAAATCATGCCAATAAACAACCTCCATTCTGTTAAAGGTGTAATTACTGTAAAGGGCTCTTGAATGGTATGTAATGGTAAAGTAATACATTTTTACAGCCTCAGCTTAGAAGAGCAACAAACAGTGCACATCTCTGACCTGAACAGGGTGCAAAATACAAAAACCAGGAGGAGAGCTACAGAAACATAAAGGGAACAACATGCAAGCTGCACAAACACAGATCTGGGAACAGTTATGAAGCCCACAAACTGGAGATGTGAGGCTATCACCATCCAGTGAGCCACAGGTCTTTTCAGTGCATCTGGAAAATGTATTTTTGTAACACCAACAAATTTTAAGCTACAGCAACAGAGCCACACCTGAGGAGTAGTTTTGGTGAAGACGTCACGTCCCATGATGACATCCCGCATCACGCGGTCCTTCAGCAGCCCATACTCTTCCTCACTCAGCCTGATGGACTCCAGGGCTGCCCCACAGCACTGGCATGTACCACTGCATGAGGACATGGAGAGGATGGGGGAACCGGGGATCAGGCAAACATGGGGAGGTATCAGGAGGAGGAGTCATAGAGAGGCATCTTCTGGCCCAATCTGCATGCATCCAATACGTGACAAAATGACGGCGTGAAAAGTACATCTATACCTCGGTCCCGCAGTGGTCCAGCTTCCCGTCCAGTTGTCAGCTGGAAGACTGAAAGAAGCATGTTAGTGTTTTGGTTCCTGGGCACGCAGGCTCAGCTTCCACCATGTGAGAGAGGTGGCTCACCTCTCAAACCAGGAACTGATGCACTGGGCCAGCGGCTCCCCCGGATACAGCTGATTGTCCCTCATGAAGAGCAGGATGTCCCGCAGCCGCTCGTTATGGCTGTGCTCGGAACAGCTGCTCTTGAACAAAGCCTGCCACGTGTCCTGATTGGGGCTCAGGCCCTGTTCCAGGAGTCTGTCATACAACGCCCAGGCCGTGGTGCTGTCACCGTGCTGCAGGGCCCCAGCGATGACGTCGCCATAGTTACGCGGAGAGGGGGTCATGGTCTTACTAAGAGACTCCAGCATGGTAAATGACTCCCTCCAGCGGTCTGTGGTACTGAACACCTTGATGAAGAGGCTGTACGCTCCAGGGTCAAGAGTCTTGAAGTGGCTCTTCATGATTTCATAAAGGTCGAATACCTCCGAATAGTAGTTACCATGTACACACAGGGTCAGGTACTTCAACAGCAACTCATAGTTCAAAGTCCCGGTCTCCACAGCTACGTATGTTAGCAAGGACTTAGCAATATCAATGCTAGATCTAGCAGCCACCATTCTCTTCATCATCTGAACCTCAAACTGATGAGGACGGAGGGAATTCTGTTTGAGACTGGCCCACTCTGTCACCGTAAGAGGACAATCTGGAACTTCAGCATGACTGGGGCCCTTGCTGGTAGCCACAGGCTGATCTACCATGTCCTCCCCTGATTTCCTCCTCATGAACTCAGCTGTCCTGCTGGCCGTCCCGGCCGCAAATACGGACCTGGAGAAAGGCTGCCGCTCATTGCGCCTCGAGTCTTTCTGAGCTGCTTTCTTCTTGTGTGCAGCGTACCTGCTACCTTCTTTAGTTGATTCTAGACGCAGATTTGCCAGTTCAGCAGATTTTAAATACGGGTGCAGGCTCTTAAGAAAAATACTTCGCCACGGTCTTAAAACGGAGAGTGGTGAGATTTGTTTTAAGTTGACTTTCACGAACGGGAAGAGCAAGGAGGACATTGTCTCATCCGAGTGAGGTCAATTAAAAAAACAAACGGCACAGGTCTAGACTACTGAGGATGACTAAACTTAAAACAAGTCGAGGTCCTTCACAGAAAAGCGGGAAGGCTTTTATTTAAATTAAGGTCCAGACGCAATCGTATACAGCCCTTAAGCTTCATATAGCATCTAGTCACTGGTCGCGTGTGTGACATAAAAACTAGTCACCAAAACAACAAACCAACAACTAGATTTTGGAATACATTCGCACACAAGATCAGCAATTATAAACTTCTACTTCACTCAATATTTAAGTACAACCCAATAAAAATGAAGCAAAACGTATGACATGGGCTACACAGACATATCGTTTAAAGATGTAAGGAACTGCCTGATTTATTAAAACACGAAATAAAAATGAAGATCGGTCACTACTCACGAAGTGCTTTTTGAACTATTTAATCATTCAATCTAAAGACTCCGCAAAGCGGTCCAAACCCACGTTTTAAACTCGGATAAACAGAGCAGTTTTCATCAGGCAACGTCACATTGGCATGTCTAGGTGTCCGCATTTGATGACGATTAAATCACATGGTTAGCACGACGCTGCACAATAGGTTAGATGCAAATATTCACGCCTTCGGGGAAAAAATAGCCAATCAACAGACGCAATAGGACACGACAGGGAAGTCTAGGAGAACTGGCAATCTTATAACTGAATTTTAAAAATATTCATGCCGAATAAATCGGTATTAATATGTCTAATGATACGGTGCGACAATGGAAAGAACTACTGAAAAAGAAACTGGCATCTGCACAAAAGGGTGAGAGTACGCTGTGATTGTTTTTGAGTGCTGGAATTTCAGTTACACAGTATACTAGGCTAGCTGGCTATTTAGCATCAGCTGAGTGCTTGAGCCCGTCACACATCGCTGACTGCTCAGCTGGAATGGCTGTGTCCCGCATGCATAAACCGGGACTTGCCGGCAACTTTAAGTCGGTTTGTTCTTTTATTATCGTTGAGGTTAAGGTTTTCGTGGATTACACATTTATTGGCAGATGAGAGGACAGAGGAGGAGAAGAAGGAGGATGAACTCCGACTGTTTACGAAGTATTACACAGAATGGAGGGGTGGCGACAAGACTGACTCCTCTTACAAGAACATACCCCGCTTTTATTACCGGGTACTTACGACGCCGACCCGGTCACTGTCCCCCTTGAAGGGTCTTATTTTACAAGGTGATGGTCATCTTAATGCGCTTCTTACAGCTTCCTGCCGACGACGAGATTTTGCTACAGAAACTGCGTGAGGAGTCCAGAGCCGTGTTTCTGCAGAGGAAGAGCCGAGAGCTTCTGGACAACGAGGAGCTACAGGTGTGGTGTCTTCCTTCACTGTGTGATAAAGCCTGAGTGCTTTTGCAGAGATGATGCTGTGTATGTCCAATATGCTGATTTTTCCTCTTCTGCACCAGAATCTGTGGTTCCTGTTAGACAAAAACCAAGTGCTTCCCATGGCTGGGGAGGAGGCCATGATCAATTACGACAGCTTCTTGAAGGTTGGAGAGACGGCAGGAGAAAAGTGCAAGTAAGTGCAGCCAGCTTGCAGAATTTCAGGGTTCAAAATTTTTAAGGTATTACCTTTTTGTTGGTTTAGCGACAGAAAAGCAGATATTCCTGCCAACACGCTCTCTGTTTTCTCCCACCAGACAGTTCTTCACTGCAAGAGTTTATGCCAAACTTCTGCACAATGACCCATATGGACGCATATCAATAATGCAGTTCTTTAACTATGTCATGAGAAAAGGTTTGTCTTACAAAAAGCAAACGTATAGAGAGAATGGAAGCTGTTCTTGGAGCAGGGTTGCTGAAATCCATTTCTGGAGGGCCGGTTTGCAGATTTCCCTGCTCACATACACCTACTAAACCTGCCATTTGGCTGGTAAGCTGAGAAAGGTGTGTTTGAGGAGGGAAATATGGGAACTGTGTGGTGAACTGGCCTTCTGGGACCAGGTTTGGGGAACCCTGACACAGAGTGTCTACTTGGCACACTAATTGGACTTGTGAGATTTACTCACTCTGTTCTTGTGGCATAGATTAAAATTTGGTACCACTGTGATACTTTCTCCCCAGTTTGGCTTCATCAGACCCGGATTGGCCTGAGTCTTTACGACGTGGCAGGTCAAGGTTACCTCCGCGAGTCGGTAAGCATCGTCAGTATTAGTATGATGCTGATTTTAAGCCAGTGAAACGGATCCATTCTCCCAAGTCCCCTTGTGTGCTTCTAAGAGTCAAAACCTGTCTCATGGTAGGACCTGGAGAACTACATTCTGGAACTGATCCCCACCCTGCCCCAGCTGGACGGCCTGGAGAAGTCCTTCTACTCCTTCTATGTCTGCACCGCCGTCCGCAAGTTCTTCTTCTTCCTGGACCCGCTGCGCACTGGTCTGTGTTCCACAGCGTTCCCCACCCTGTGCTGTCAGTGGCTGCTGTTGTGTCATTCAGACTCTTCTTCCGAATTCTTGGATGCATTGATCTAAAGCCAAACCCTTCAGCATATCAGTTAATCCTTTAATGTTACTTTAATGAAACCCAGCTGACCCATCGCACCTCTACCGTAGTAAGGCTTTGCCTTCTGAGAAGCCAAGGAATATTGTCCTCTGCTCCGAGGGGTCTTTGGTACAGCCTACTCATTCAGTTTTCTCTTACTCAGGAAAAATAAAAATTCAGGACATTTTGGCCTGCAGCTTTCTAGATGATCTTCTGGAGGTATGTCATCGCCCTTATATTACCTACGGAGGATTTGGAGTGGAGGTTCCCTTTAGAGCCACCTCCCTATTAACTTGTTCTCCATCTGAGTTGTGGTGTCTGCCCTTCCCTGCATTTCAGCTGCGGGATGAGGAGTTGTCCAAGGAGAGTCAGGAGTCCAACTGGTTCTCGGCCCCATCAGCACTCCGTGTCTATGGTAGGCAGACATGCTCATATCCGAGTTCAGGGCACCTAGCACACTAATCTGCTAAAAAGTGGTTTGTGGTTTCTACTCCCAGGGCAGTATTTGAACCTGGATAAGGACCACAATGGAATGCTGAGCAAAGAGGAGCTGTCTCGTTACGGCACCGGCACCCTAACAAGCATCTTCCTGGACCGCATCTATCAGGAGTGCCTCACTTACGACGGAGAGATGGTAAGCAGATATCCTTCAATATCCCCAAGTGGCCTTGTGGTTGGACGTGACACTCACGTCATGCTTATGTTGCGGTTCCCAGGACTACAAGACCTACCTGGACTTTGTCCTGGCGCTGGAGAACCGCAAGGAACCTGCTGCCCTTCAGTACATTTTCAAGATATTGGATATGGAGAACAAGGGCCACCTGAATGTGTTCACACTCAACTATTTCTTCAGGGTAAGGAATACAGTATCAGAGAGGATGGGACAGGACACAAGACAGCAGGAAATAACTCTGCTTTGTCCTCCAGGGAATCCAGGACCAGATGAAGGTGCACGGCCAAGAGCCAGTGTCCTTCCAAGATGTCAAGGTATGTGTACAAACTGAGGAGCAGGGGGCTAATTATTTTGTGCCCAATACCAATCAGTTTTCTCCTTGTAACAGGATGAGATCTTTGACATGGTGAAACCCAAAGATCCCTACAAGATTACCCTGCAGGACCTGGTGACCAGCGGGCAGGGTGACACCGTCACCAGCATCCTCATAGACCTGAACGGCTTCTGGACCTATGAAAACAGAGAGGTTCTTGTGGCCAACGACGACAGCAACACAGATATGGACGATACGTGACGCGGGCTTTTGTGTCAAGCAGCAATGCTTTTCAGTACTATGCAGGATATGTTGAGATGGACCTCCACACTCCAATATGGAAATACCTCATCAGTTAGAAAAGTACAACAGAATAAGCATATGACAGTTATTCAGTTTATTAATATGTATATTATATAAAATAAATGCATCTGTTTTCTCAGTTATAAAACTTTTAGTTTGAAATATATATATAAATAAAACAAGTTTAATTTTTCAGTGATACAATAGAAAAAAATTAAACTATACTTAGGTCTGACCAGTATTCACTAATGACAAAGTACAACATTTTAAGGATAGACTTGCATCCTCAGCTGCTTTTGGCCATTTCTTTAAGCGAACATGCAGGAGAAGCAGTCAGTCTCTCTTCCCTCCGGGGTTTTCGTGTTCTCCCGTTGTCCAGGGGGGAGAAGCGTGGCAGCCGAGAACCCATAGAACAGAGGGGCTGGGCTGAACGGTTCCCCTGAGACGGGAGTCATGGAAACGGGGCCGCTGGCAGACCCGCAGCATCAGTGTGGCAAACAGTTATTTACAGAAAAAGATCAACAGAACACATCAATTACAAGATACCTGAAGAAAAGCAAATGACAATGAATGAATCACAGGAAGTGCTGTGAAACGCATCTGGAAGTCAGTCCTTTGGAAAGTTACAAGGAATTTCATCAAACATGAAAATAAAATTAAAAGGCTTCAGGAAAGCTAAGACACCCATGGGACCTTAAATCCCAAGTAACCCAGACAACCCTTTTGGCAGGTCAACCATACGCTGTACCCAGCACAATGAGACACACAATGAGAACACTGATCATGTTCTACAGCTGCTGTTTTAGAACAGCACCGATATGAGGATAAAGATGGGCAAGCTGCACAAATGATGAAAACCAAGCTGGCGGAGGTCACTGAGGGCTTAGCTGGGGATGGGTGCGGCGACCATGTTCATTTCCAGCGAAGTGTGCGTCTCCTCTTGCACGTCAAAGGTCACTTTAACGAAGGAGGCAGAGCTCTCTGGCTGCTCTGTCATTGGCTGCTTGCCTTCTGGGCTGAGCTTCTCGTTGAAGTGACGTTCTGCTTCCTCTGACAGCTGGTTCTCCTCCGCTTCTTCTTCCTCCTGCAGTGCCCGCCATTATCCAAAATCAGCACATTCTCTGAGGTGTGATGCAGCTCACAGTTTTCATTCATTCAGGAGGGTCACCCCTTGATCTTTCCACATACCTCTTTCTTGATCCTGTAGAACTCGTCAATCGCGTACTGGTATTTGGGCGTTGTGATGCCCAGCAGCGAGGACATCTTCTCCCCGAAGTAGTCACACACTGAAAGGCAGAAACAGGCAGGCACACTTGAAGAAACCCATCTGCTCTTGGGGGTCGTGCAGCCTCTGGCCAGTTCACCCCCAGGCACGGTGCCCAGCGACTCTCCAACAGAGTCAGGAAAATGGAATACCTGAGTGTGTAACTGAAAATCTTATCAGCAGGATAAAGGCTATTATACCAGGAAACTAGTTCATGTTTAGATGTCATGGTTATACCTTGATCAATGTTGTTGTGAATTAGTCACTATCTACTTAACAGGAGGCCATAGCAGCTACAGAAATGAATGGGGGGGAGCAGACTGGGGCCAGTTATTCTGTGTTGGTTGAACCAGATGCACTTCACCTTAATGTCCTCCAAGTATTACTTACACTAGATCACCAGCATTAAGAAGCAAAAGACAATTTTGAGAACCGGTGATATTTATGCAATGCTTTGCAGTCACATTTTACAGTTTTTACAAATATGTGACTCACTCTGATTTCTTGTTTAGACTGTCCTGCTTCCACAAGCTTGATTATTCTTTTCTGTCGTTAACTTTGCTTTCACCAACTGAAGCGACTCAACCATCTGGCGCACCCGGTGCTTACATTTGTTTCAGCTGTTCCCAGCGCACAAAATTTTAGCCCATGCATATATACGTAAATAATAATAATAGTAATAATGCATTTATTTCAGACCCAAGTAGCATATGTTTTTAGGGGCCCTATGGACCCCCAGAGCCACCCCTGACTACCAACATAATCCAAGTGCAAACTAAAACCATAGTAATGCAATTACCAGAAAGTCTGGCGAGTCAGGGAACCGACAGCAGCCGACAGGATAACGTGATGTCATTACTGCCCATCATCCCACTGGCTGATCTCAGTGGCTGCCTTGATACGCATGGCGTCAGGGCACTGAGGAGCTCAGTGTCCAAGCAGCCTGCTGCATCTCAGCCTTTGTCGGCCAAATAAAGAGCTCTATTGTACTGCAGGGGAGAAACCACCCATGGCTGGACACACCTCTGTAAAGCCTAAGATGGAGCGTTCCACCCCTCATTGTGCAAATGAAGGAAAAACTAGCTGGATAAAGGGATTTTTCTTACAGAAGAAAACCCAGGCTTGGGTGTCGGCTGCTAACATTAAAAATAACTCCTGATCCTATGCCCTAGGTTTTGATGAATCCCTATAGTCAGAGACAACTGGCAATAAAATAACAGGAGTCACAGAAACTACAGGCATGTTTAAATTAATTAGTTACATTAAAAACAGTCCCCTGTGATGCAGCAAGGCTAGCTTAAGAGCTGTATGGTGCAGACAGCAAACACAAAACGCTTCTTGTTTCAGGACAATGACAAAGTGCTTAGCCAATCACAGAAAAGGAAAGCACAGCAGCCTAGTCTAGGCAGTTACTGTCTGTGATGGTCCCTCTTGTGGAGCAGGACTGAAGTTCACCAATTCTTACAAGGTAACAGACTCATCCAGCTGAGCTCTTGGTTTTTTCTGCCAGCTGGTATCGGACTCTACAAAGAGTCTCTCCTGACCTCTTTTACCAGACCATAATCTGTTTGTACTATATATTTTGCACTTTTTGGTTAATTGTCTTTCCTTGTTATTTGTGTATACGGGGTGGGCCAAAAGTAGATATATAGTTTCCGTTTCACTGATTGGGTCCTGTTTAGTCTCTTATGTGCTCAAACTGTCCTCTGTCAATGTTAATACATTCCTGCAGACTGTCTCTGACACTGTGACACAATTTAGCACACAAATCCCAGTTAGCATCGATGTCCATAATTGCTTGCGCGACTGAACTCCTTCAATTCATCCACTGTGTGGGGCTTCCTCTCAAAAAACTTTCTCCCTTAAAACGCCCCCCCCCCCAAAAAAAGGCGCCGTGTCGCCCGACCCAACACTGTGGAAAGGTGTTGTCAAGGTAGCTAAAGTGTCATAGTGTCAGGGACAGGCTGCAGGAATGTATCAATGTTCACAGAGGACATTTCGAACACGTAAGAAACTAAATATGACCCAATCAGTACTGTAAAATAAAAACTGTATACCTATTTCAGCCCGTCCTGTATGTATACTGTGCCTTTTATAACTTTGTTCTATTTCATGTGCTGCTTGCAGGTAACTTCAGGATCAATACACGTCTGTCTGTCCACCTGTCTGTCATATAAAAGATATAAAGACTTTTGTGTTTCTTCCTGCTATGGCTCAGCAAAACGTTTCTGTGTTACTTCAAACAGCGAGAACAAACTGGAAGGGTTGCAGAAATCACACGCGTGACTGAACTGCAGTGTATGTGCTGGGCTGAAGGTAACTCACCTGACACAGTGGACATGGCCGCTCTCCACATATGAAACAAGAAGTATGGCCCCCACGTCAGCTTTGCCTGGAAGAAAACGTTAAGGGGTTCAGACACCTTGATACAACACATGCTACACATGCTACAAGAGGGTGGGCATTGTCAGGCCAACCAGACACAGGTCTACTCACAGGGTCTACTGTAGGTATGAGATCCTTCTTCTCTGGTTCCTCTTCTTCCTCATCTGTGCTGTACTCCTCCATGGTTTCCCCACCGGCAAAATATATGGTCCGACGTGGCGACTTTTGCTGTGGATTCCTCATCTGATCTCCCAGCTCCACATTTTCAAAGTCCTTCCCTGTGCTCTGATAGCCGGGACACAAAGAAAAATACTGAGCTATTGTAAGGGAGGACTATTCCCATTCGGTTCTGTATCGGCCATAAAATAAAAGAAGATGGCTTTAGATCTTATGGGTTGCCAGTCTCAGCACGATCGTACAGAAGATGGACGGGGCCGATCTAAGAGGAGCCAGTGGCAGAGGGAGCATGTCATCATCTACAGAAACTCTAAACAAGTGATATATTGTCACGACAGTGACGGACGGCTTCGATGCAAAGCCGTAACAAGACAAGTCACGCAGTACACGAAACACGTAACATTAAATATTATCCCTTTCTCGGAGGAGTTATTACTTCACTGCCAGTTCAGTCACTTTGTTAGTAAAATTACGCACGCACTCGAAATACACCAAGACAAACTACAGACCCTGAGCGAACTTCCTATGGCGGAGCCCTCAGTTAAGAGGCTTAAATAAACTAACTTTAACATGGGGAACTCAAAGAAACCATTAAAATCGGCACCTTATCTGCGTCCATACTGGGCATCAGAAATACTACAGTTCCACCCGAAATTCGTGTCCGCGGTTTCTGCTAAGAAACCCGGATGTGACACGATCCGGAGCGCGCACGCCTCCTCGCGCTGTCCCGCAGACAAACACGGAAGTGATGTAAAAGCCAGCATCGCTTTCACCTAGAATTTGGGAGGGGGGTAACTCGGGTGCTATGTGATAGTATACTGATTTATCAACGGAACCTATTAAGCTATGCCTTACCATGAGTTACATAATATTATGTAGCAGTTACTGCACACCAAGCAATCTGAAAAGCAGATGCTTTAGCATCAGTAGAATGTAACTTGAATGCTGTGCTTAATGTCACTTTGGTGATAGCGCCATTAAACATCTGAAACTTGTCGTTGCGTTTCGTTAAATAATAACAATAATAAAATATCCAGTGGCTTGTAAACTGGGAAACAGCGTAACTGCTCCCTCTACTGAAAACCACTTAGTATAGCAAAAATAACAAGGCTTCGGAATGACCCAAATGAGGCAATGTGGTGGGCTTTAAAATAATTGGCCAAATAATATACTTGGCTTCCGGAATTATTTAATTATTTCAGAATAGTATGAGAAACCGGGGATTCGATTTTATAAATTAGGTATTTTTTGGATTTAATTGCTGAAAATATGATTAAACGAGCCAGTACGATTGTTGTTCCCCCAAGACAGGAAGGGCTTGGTGCGCTCCAGTAGTATTGAAGGAAAAGCTGCCCAGCTTGTTTATTTTCACAGACGGCGAGCAGCGTAGAGGCGCAGGCCCGCACTGCAGACCTCCGACCGGTTACTTTTCGGTAATTTCCTCTAAGTAACAGTCCAGTAGCTGTTGGCCATGGCTCTGTGCGGGGGTGTCGGAGCCTTGGCCTTACCCAGCGAGCTCATCGTCCACATATTTTCCTTCCTGTCCCCCCGGGACAAGCTCCGGGCCTCCGCCGTGTGTTCCCGCTGGAGGGAGTGTCTGTTCTACCCAGCGCTGTGGACGAATCTGAAGCTGCGTGTCGGTGGCGGCACTAACGGCGGGGGCTCGGGGTCCGAGGAGACCCCCAAGCTGGAGTTTCTTATGCGGAAGTTCGGGTCCTTCGTCCGAGAACTGCAGCTGGAGTTCGCCCCTGTGGAGGGTTGCCTCCAGCTGCACGGAGTGGAGGCGCCGCAGAGCGACCCCCGCTTCCCCGATCAGTGGAAGGATGCTGCGAAGACCTACCTGGACCAGGTGCTCTGTGTGCTGCGCGGCCTCCGGAACAACAGGTAGGCGGCCGGGAGGAGGCGTGCGGAAAGCCATTTTCGACTGCGTCAGATGCTGCGCAAGGCCAGCCACTGAGCCGTCATGCGTGGCCAGTCGGGGTCTCGGCCCGGCCGGAGCGGACACCTGTCATCGGGGCGCGGTGACATGCACCAGCCTCGCGGGGTCCCCGTGTTTAGCCCGGATGGGCTGTTCGAGCAATTTGGCAGAGCATTGGGGGGGGGGGCGTCTCTACAGTGGTTCCTGTTGGCAGCTGTTTGCGTGCCTGTCAGATGTAAACAGATCGGTCTCTCTCTTTTATTAACGTGCCCGGACGGGTGGCATTGGGCTCCGCATGCACCCGGACAGCAAAACCCGTAATTTTGTTAATGCTAAACTGATCAGATGCCCCCCCCCGTAACCGCTTTCAGTGGTGCAGATATGTAAGGGGCATGTGATTGTGAATGGGGACATGAAGGGTCAACGCTCCGGCACGGAGCCCCCCGAGCCGCAATCTGGAGCCGCATTCCCCTGACCGGACGGAAATGCCTGGGTTGGGGCGCTTTGATCGCTATTGTATTCCCATTATTTACCTGGCCGCTTTTCATGCATTCTAACAGCAGCCGGTGCTAAGGGCACGTAGACATCTAACTGTAGAAATAAAGCAAATTCAGAGGGGAAATAGGTTGGCTTCGTGGTCCCGGAAGTGGAAGCGGCAGGGCGCTGAGGCCGCTTCCTGCATTCTCTTAATTGCCCTATAAGTCAGTGGGGTTTATTCGCTGCTTTTTTTTTTTTTTTTTTAAATACACAGGGTGACAGTTTAGAATATTGTTGATGGGTCTCTACTAATTTTTTTTGTTAGGAACATAAGGAAGCTTAGCATGTACGGCGACACCTGTATTCTACAGGACGAGGGAGTTTTGGACAGCCTTCATCTCAGCCAGGTCGACCAGGGTGGAAAGAAAATCAAAGAGTAAGTGCTTGTTATATTTATTAGTTTTTATTATTATTAATTAGAAAACAACTGTTACCTGAGTGTTGTATCGGCCTGTGCTTCAGAATCCAGCGGCTGTTTGGGGAAATCCTGGCTAATAGCCGTCAGCTGAACTGGCTGTCCTCAGCATTCATGCTGGGTATGGTGACTCCCAGCTCCTTGGCAGCCGTGTCCAACTCTAGCGCCGGATCTCTGGAGCACCTCAGTCTGCTGGACAACCAGCTGGTGCCGCTGCTGGGGGTGGTGGAGCTGGAGCGGCTCCCACACCTGCATTCCTTGGCGCTGGACTTCAGCGACTTCAGCGCCACCATGTGTCGCCTGCTGTCAGGCGGTGACCGCGCGCCCCTGCACCGCCTTTCCCTGCTGCTCAACGGCGGCACCCTAGCGGGCAAGCCTCTGAATGGCACCCCAGCCGACGACGACTGGAAGGCCCTGGTGCGCCACAGCGCCAACCTGCGCGTCTACATCATGGCCCTGGACACCGGCAGCCAGCACCTGCTGGCCATCTTGAAGCCTAGCATTCCGCTGGAGAGGATCCACTTTGACAGCTACTCTGCCTCCACCAGCGAGGCCACGGTGGAGCTCATCTCTCTGCAGTACCACAAGACCCTCACCCATTTCACCCTCATGAGGGACGACAGCGGCTTCCCAGACCTCAGTGACAATCGCAACGAGGATCCGCTGGTGCTTCTGGCTTGGCGTTGTATCCATCTGTCTGTACTGGTCATCCATGGTGAGCGGTGTTGCACGGGGGCACAGGCCGGCACATTTCCATCCCCTCCCATTCTGTGTGGTACCGGGGCCTCGACGGACCCGCATACAGTACGGCTCACGGGCCTGTCTCTCTGTGCACAGGTTACACGATGTGGGCCCACAACCTCATCGCCATCTCACGCCTGCGTGGCTCCAACCTGAAGGTGCTGGCTGTGTCGGAGGAGAGCATCGACTTTGACCCGTACCAGACCTTCTCCGTGGAGGAAGACCCCGTGCACAACCTTATCAAGGAGGTGTCTCTGGGACTGGGCCGCGTCTGGCACCCCGTGATGGACGCCAGCGTCGTCCTGAGCGAGCCCACACAGCACTTCTACCGCGAGGTGCAGAGCTTCAGCGAGGGCATGTAACTCCTCGCGGCCTCGCCTGTCACTCTCCCCCTGTGTCCGCCCTCAGACCCCTCTCCCCCTGTGTCCGCCCTCAGACCCCTCTCCCCCTGTGTCCGCCCTCAGACCCCTCTCCCCCATTCCCAGCCACTGACATTGCCGTCACATGTAATGCCTATGCTAAATGCTCTTTACGCACTAGGCCCTGTCTCATTTTATGTTTTTTTTTTTTCCCCCCCAATTTTTTTTTGTTTTCTGTAGTGAGATCTAACCCTTTATGTGCTGTTAACCCAGTAGTAGCTCTATATTTATATCTATCTATATATCTTGCTTCTGAAGAGTATAGTCGGTATTGGTTTAGTAGCTAATAAGCGTGTGTGGGAGGGGCTTCTCTGTCTGGCTTATGATATGTGCTGCGTTTTGTTCTGCTCTTATGGACGAGTATAGAGCTGCAGAGAGCTAAGGCTATCAGTTTGTCCATCCCTGCCTTTTTAAGATGAGTAAAATCCGTTGTACTCTTACCTTTGACGAGGCTTGCGTCTTCCGGCCTAGGACGGAGCACTGATGGCTACCCCTCTGGGTCTAGAATATTCTTTTTAAACCGCGTGTTAGCTCTTTGCGATGATCCTACGTTCAGGACGCTGGTCCTGCTGGTTTTTGTTATCTGGAAGCGCGTTTGTGTTGATGGGACCCGTCCACCCTGAACGCAGATGTTGGAGGCTGGACGCTAGGTCCACTGCGGAGCTCTGCAGGATTCCAGGGCTCCTTCTCAGCCGCCCCCACAGGGGGGGGAGGGGGGTCACTCGCAGTCCCTCGAAATACCTTTGGTCTGCCTCTGCTATCAGCCAGGCACTATGTGAGACTGTTGCGATGAGGATGACCACAATCCATGAGGCAGTTTGCCGGTCTTTCCGTTTGCTTGGGTAGTCTAGAGTCACAGTTGCCTTGAACGCCTCCTCCCCCCGCCCACCCCCGTATCTGTTTCAAGGTCTACAGGTCTCATCTGTTGAGCTTTGGACAGAAGAACAAATTAGCTGGCCTGTTCTGTATCTCAGGTACTTCTACGATGAAGGCTGTTGTGCCATTTGGGGGCTGAGCTCATCTGAAACCTTTTTTTTTTCTCCATCTCTGTCATTCCCTCACTTTCGTTTAAATGGTGAACATCTACATTGTGTCTCTGAGACTTTTAAATGAGCTTCAATGGTATACTTGCTGTTTTAAATCTCAGTAAAGAGGGAACAAGGTGCTTTGGGGGGTTACAATGTAAATATGAATCTGGTAGCCTTTTTAATGGCAGGCCTGTAGATTTGGTCCTATAGCACCCCCTCCTGATGGCATTTTTCTCTTTGCTAGTCTAAGTGGAGCAGCGTTCCACTAAGGTACATCGATGGAGGTCAGCTGATCCCCATTTATTGTGTGTTGATAGACCTTCCTCAGGAGGCACTGAATGGTTTGGTCCAAGTGTTGGCATGGCCTCTTTGGAGAACCTGCTCTGTAGGTCCGTGTCGATTGTTAGACCAAAGGAAGTTGACCAGTGTTCCTGACCCATCAGTCTGTATCGGTTGAGGCCGACGTGTGAAGAAGTTAAAGGCGCTGGGGTGGGGGGGGTGGGCGGAGGTTGTTGTTGGTCCAAATAACAAGGAGATCGACCTGGTTTCGGAAGAGCCCGAAGCGTTACTCTGGACATGAAGCCAATGGTTTACACATGACAGGCCCAGAGTAAGACAGAGCAGAGATGCGTGTCAGCAGGGAGATTGTTTCTATATAAATTTACAATTTTACTTAATCACACCAAAAAGTGATAACGGGTCGTTAAGTTGGAGGCAAGTGTTGCACGTGTGGAACTAATCAAATTCGTTAACTGTTGGAGCAAGGGGCGCAGCAGTTAATCCAGTTCCTCAAGCTACTAACTGAGGCGACTAATCTGTGCAGCCTGAAGTCACCTGGCTTTTGGTACCAAACCCCTCCCCACCCCCGTGTCAGAACCACTCTTCTGTTGTGCGATTTCACGTCTAGTGTGGTAGTAGCATCTGGACTACTCTCTTAAATTCCGCTCGCTCGCTCGCATAATTCTCCCGTGTGTGTTAAATTGAGACACGCTGAAGTAGGAGGAGGGGAGGCCAGTGATATGGTGTACCGCTTTGTTGCCAGTGAACAACAGGAAACGCCTTTCTCAGGGTTACAGTCAGAGCGAACCAGGTGGGGCTGCACTGCTTAGACCTGAACCACAGAAGTTAGTCGTGGTGGAGAGCAGAAACAAGTCACTGGATTTCACGTGCGTCGGTGTCCATATCAGCTGCTGATGTTGCAGCGTTCGCCGGGCACCCACATGCGGGGGGCAGGCGGGGGGCCCGTGCCTCGGGCTCAAGTTGGACCGGTGTGTGCACAGCTGTGCTGTGGCTTGGTCACCAACAGTAGGACTCTAACAATGCACCTGTTTCACTGTGAAGAGTGAATGTACAAAGGCAAATCACTAGGTTGGTTCTATCAAACCTGTACGCTGCTATGAGACGTTGTAGGGACATTCCACTGGGGTGATTTCCAACCAACACGAGGCCAAATGTCTGCATGGAGCTTATTTTTTTACTTTCTTTTGCAGTGGGATCCAGTTATTAGCCTGCAACTGGTCTGTCATAAAGCCTCCGTGCACCGTAGAGGTTTCTGTGTTGCAGGCAGGCTCAGTCTTCATCCACCATGGTCAAGTGGAAGGGGAGCCTTTGGAATCTCTAAGACCAGTTGTCCCTTAAGCTTGGATTCCTTTTTTTTTAATCTTGTGGAAACTGTATGCATTCACAATCTGAATTCTCTCACTGGAAAGCAGGGAGTTAACGCAGTGAGCGGCTTGGATATCAGTCTGGAGCCGGTACTCGGTCGCCTCTGAGGTGGCGCTCTCGCTTCCACCTCGCTGCAGCTCCTCTTGCGTCCGTCCCACATGGAGAACCCTTAACCGATTGGCCGATTGGCGAGAGAGCGGCCCGGAGAATCCCGTAAGTGCACAAGGGTCACGGGCTCGCTGTGCTGTAGGCCGGGGTGAACGGGAGGCTGCAGGTCATGAGAGAGCAGATAAACTATGCAAGAGGATACACATCGTCGACCCGCCGCTCCTGTTTTCTGTCACTTACAAACGGAGAGATCTTACCTGCAAAGATACTTGGCCTTATCGTTTTAAAACCTTGATTCTTCGGAAGCCAACTCAGTTTCGGGGGCAGCCGTAGGTACGGACGTGGTCTCTGTGAGACTGGCCGTCGCCCCAGTTTTTAGTGGTACGAATGTTGTGCATTTGTTTAAAATCAGGACAGTTTGCAATAAAGTCAAAGTGGCCACCATGGGGAACTAGCAGTGCTAAAACCTGGCTGCTACCTTGTAAACTTCTGGGATCACACACACGTGCATACACACACGCACACACCCACAGTGTGTATATATACATATGCCAGTATATGTATGTATCTGCACACATGTCCGGATTCTATTTATGAACATGAAAAGTTTATAAAGCGTTATTTACAGAAATGGTTTTACCATCTTAAATGTTTAATATTTGGACAGTGTTCTGTCTGCCTTTTTGTCTCCAGTGAGCACATAGTGTTGGATTTTATATGTACATCAGCAGAGGGGAGTTGTCCCAGTGGGGAATATGCTGGGTGTGGGAGGTTTTAATCGATCGAAGGCGATCAGAGCTTAATTAAAAAGAAGGGGAAACACATTTGAGAAGCTCGAGCTGACCGTGTAAACCAGCTGAATACCGAGTCTATGTTGAATGGATGCATTTTCTTTTAATCCGTGAATAAAGCATTAAAAATGGCCATCTTCTCCTGGTGTTCCTTTCAGCGTTGCACGTGACTGATGTCTGCGCGGTACAGCATTAAAACCAGAGCGTACGCACGTCTTGCACAACCAGAATCCACTTTATTACTTCTTTACATGACTGTCCTTAAGTTATAAATTACAGTAATTCATTAACAGCTGATTTGGGTGGCTCAAACAAGTACATATCTGGTAGGGGAAAAAGGGGGTGTAATCAAGGACTTATGAACAATATCCATACAACTTCTCTATGTACAGCTCAGGGAGGGGCAAGTTTGCCTTAAATTCTACTGCTAAAAAGCTTCCCTGTGCTCATGAAAAAGGCAGCTGATCCACTCCTATGATGCCCTGACCGTTCAAGTTTGTTGATGGTGGCAAACGTAGCCACGTGCCCTTTAACGAGGGAAAGCCAGACGAGGCAGGTGGCCTGCTTAGTGGTCCAGGTCTAGGTCCAGGTCCAGGTCCATCTCACTCATGCCTTGTTCACCTCAAACTGTCCCTCTGCTGGTAATGCAAGAAAGGAGGTGGGGAGCTCAGATCATGTCCTGTGAGAATGGGTGGTGGTCTGGGGGGTGCTCGCTGCCTGGAGGGGAGGGTCTGCGGGGGGGCCCAGACCGGCTGTCGGGAGGGGGCCCTGCAGGTGGATAACCCGTGGGATGGGGTGGCAGTGGAGGGAATCTCGGATACACCCCAGGGGGCAGCGGCCCACGCACTGGAAAAACAGCAGAGGGACATCTGAACAAAACATGCAGTGGCTGCTAATGGCCCTTTTCCAAAAAAACCTAACACCCCCCCCACCAGCAGCAGCAGCATGAAGACACGTTAAAACATTACTCACTGCCCATGGGGGGGACTCGAGGAGGGAAAAACTCGGGGGGACCATAGGGGCCTCGACGATGGAAGTGGTCCGCAGGGACCAGTGGAGGTGGGGGGCCCAGAGGAGGGGCCTCCCGTGTGTTTGCATCAGGGACATTTGACGGCTCCCCAGAAACAGACAGGAGGCTCTGGGGACAGAGACAGAGCCAGTGTGAATATCTCAGGTATGCGATTCGTGGAAGTAGCATCGGCGGAGAGGAAATGGTTACTCAAAGATGCTGGAGCTGAGCACCATTCCGCCAAACCGCAGCGACCCCGCAACAGAGCAAGGCCATCTGGGACTGTACTTACATCTCTGCTCTCACTGAGGCCCAATCCGAGGCTGCTGGAGGTGCTGCCTGGTTCTGCTGAAAGAGGCGAGAACAGGCTGTGAGGATCCAGCCTCGTTCCCTTAGGAAATCCTCAAAGAGCTCATTCACACCCCCGTAGCACCGACCCCGTTAGATAAGGAGACCTGCAGGGGGGCCTGGAATCTAGAAGCACATTCACACAGACGCTCTTACACAATGGGAAGGATGAACGCCACCTGCTTACCAGACCTACCGGTGGGATTTGGGTTGAAGTGGGTCTCAGCCAAACCGGGGCCCCTGGGAGGCAGGGGGCCTGGCGGGAAGGCGCCAGGTGGTGGGGGACGGCGGTAGGGGAGCCTGGGGTCTGGATACAGGTAGCCTGGAGGACAAGCAGTAAAGACCACTCAGTCCACCATATTTTGGCGAGCGTCTTGGGAGAGGGAATGTTCTCTGATCGTTTCTGATAGGATAGAGATGAGACGTGGGCTGGATCATAGGCACGCCTCATGCTGAGGAAGCAACTCCGTCAAAACACGAAAGGCCAGACGCGAATGCAAGATTAACGCAATCAAGGAGCAGGACTCATACCTTCTGCCACGAGAGTGATTACGGTGCACAACACAAACACTCTAAGTACAGCGATGACACGGTCCATTGGCACCCCTGTGACGTGGTTCCGGTCACCCAGGGCCACGCTTGGTGGCCCATTTAAGCCACATGAGCTCTACCCTCCATGCCCAAACCATGGGGCACCAAGAGTGAGGGGAAGATTCTGGAATGAGCATAGGTAGGCTGTCACCAGAGGTAAATAGTTCAGGTCCAGAAAGTAAAAATCCAGACCAAGATTTTGTTTCAACCAACCAGTTGAGTACTCTGTGACTGTGACTCTTCAACCTGAAGTGGTTGGTTGAAACAAAGCCTTGGTCTGGATTTTTACTGTCTGGACCTGAACTATCCACCGGTGGCAGTCACCCATGTAGGTGCTCTATGCTTAGT